GACAGTCCCGCCATATTTATCGGCCACTGGGGCAACGGTTGGCTAGAAATTCAAGTAGGTAACAAGTTTACCAGCAAGGAGGTGTACTAGTTTAAGAAGTTTGAATCACAACATCAGGCTTAACATAACAAGCTCTAAGTTAGACAGAAAAATATAAATTATCCTCCTGCGACAGGATGAATTACCAACACTCACATTTCCTTTCTTCTTTTCTTACCCCCATTGGGAGGAAAGAAATCAGTTAAACTGAGTGCTTGCTGTCTGTTTCATCTTAAACCTCTGACCTGTCGCCAGCTGCGACTCTCATTCTTAAGGAAAGGTAGCCTATTTGGCTGCCTCCTAAAAAAGTCTACAAGTTCTAACATGAAGTCATCCCTCATTTGCATAATGGCCATTTTTGTGGCCCTGATGTACACCGCATGGTAATGGGGACCGCTGTAGGACATGGTTCATGGGGAGAGACAAAAAAACGAGTAAAAAAAAACGATAAATTTAATTAAATTTACAATATTTAATTTATTTTTGGGGTGAATGGGAGTGAAGAACATATTATATGCGGAGGTTAGAATCATGGGCCAAAACCTCACACACACACAAAACGTGTTTTTACTCACGCAACGATTCACAAACAACTCAGGGTGGGTTGGTTTCAAATTCCAAAACATCATTCACAAACTATTGCATTATGCAAATAAGAAACATACCTTATCAAACAAATACATCATGCTTCAGGCCAGCCGGAGGACGTCAGCAATATTTCTCTCCATAACTATGGATCGCTTTCACCCAAATCACTGATAAAGTTGGTGTTGTTTTCTACAAGAGATTGCACGCGCCGTCAATGGTTAAGATATTATCGGGTAGAAATTTGTATTCTATTGTTGTATTTTATCTTTTGCTGATTTTAATGGTACCTGGGCTGGCTGATGACGACCCAATTTCCCTTCGGGGGATTAATAAAGGTCTGTCTTCTTCTATCTATCTATCTATCTATCTTCTATTCCTAATCTATCTATCTCATCTATCTATCAGGTTAGGTCCATGCTGGACGCTAAGCACGCCGTCACACTTGGGTAAGGTGCTTTAATTTAGGGCAGGGTCAAGCTCAGCTCAGGTTTCAGCTACGTCAAGTCTGATCGCAGGATGATCGCTGAAACACATCAGTTGGATTCCCTTCAAGCATCCAATTGGCAAATGGTTCTTCAGGTCATTTTTTGCGCATATAAACAGTAATTAATCAGGGTACGTATATAACTGGGAGGATGCAGTCTTAAAGGGTTAAAATGACTCCCCCTCCCTACTGTGTTACATGTTGGCTTTATATCTCCGTTGTTTGGGTTTGGGGAGGGGAGGAATCACTCCAAGCTCAAGGGTGTTCTGTCTTGAGTATAAGGGGGGTGATCATATTTTGTTGGCGGGAGTTCTCAATCAACTACTTTTGCATTTAGAAATCCCCAGGCAAATGCGGTCGGCCACTGAGATCTTCAATTGTCTGGTATTACGAGGGACTACTCTTCTGAATTATGGTTAAGAAACATGGCCAGACTTGTGTGGACAAGGATCCCTGGACATCAGCAAGATATTAAACAACACAACAGTTCCCATTCAGGCAGTCTGATCACAACTAATGAAACAATTAAATCCGTACACACTGGACTTTAATTACTGGTTGTATATTTATTCAGCTGCACATCACCAAGTATTTGAGTCTGTCGCCTATAATCTCATGTTGAATTCTTTTTTCTGGGACAGACAACACAGACTCTGTCTCGGCTGAGCTGCTGCCTTTAACCGGAACTTTAAAGTTTCATTTTCAGGAGTGTGACAAAGCCTCTCTCTTGCCAGTGTTGCTCCGGGGCCTCTAACTGCCAGCTCAGAGCTCTTTCCTTTTCAGGGTTTAGCACTTGTAGTTAAACGACATTTGGCCACATAAGAACTTCAATGCTTTGTTAGGGAGACTTTTACACTGTTTTTATTCCGGTCTTTTGGTTCTGCTGTGGTGAGGTCAAGGAGGATCAAGGAATATAAACCCATTACAGTTCCTTACCTGCTTTCCTGTTTCGTTCCTTGGTAACTCTCCAACAACCTCCTGGTAGTGTTCTTTCTTTCGCAAGCAGCTTGATGAATGTGGGCAGGGCCTGGATTCAAACTCTGGTGCCTTGTGTTCACCTCTGGTGGGGCCACAAGGAGGCGGAAACACACTGACTGGACTTGGAGCAGGAGACTCCAGTTTCAAAAATAAAACACTTTTCAAGCATTTTGTGTCCTGCATGAAATGCCTGGTTCATATTAAAATCATAATTTATTCTTACTATTCTTTATAATAATATTACAGAATCAGCTTTCTTTATAGTAGCCTGTGTGTACATATATTGATATGGCGACAACCTGCCAACTTATTATCTTAATCATCAACCCATTCATGGGCCTAACCCTAACCAGGACCTCAGACACAATGGTTTGCCCACTTAGGCCCGTCCCTTGGTCCCCATGAGGCAGTTACAGTTCAGTGTTTGTACCATAAAAGAGTAACAGAACATATATTTATTATACCTTGGGCAATGCACAGGAGCGTAAACTGGCACCTTCACCAGGTCCTACGCCTCTTCATACTGTGGTCTGTTGCTGGACTTGACACCCAGGAACCCCAGTTCCCAGGATCAAGTCCCTACAGGAACTCAAAGCTTTATTCTAAATAAAGTATTTCAGCGATCTACCTTTCACCCAGGCCATTTACTTTCTAGGGTCGGCTGATAATAGGCCCACTGATTTATTAGTGGTATTATTATTTCATCTGTATACTTATTTTTCTTATTATATTTATCTGCCATTTAGTTGCATTTTGATTCTGCTGGGTGGTCAATTAAACTCTACAACGCCTCCCTTTGGGGGAGAGTCAGTTACCCTCCCAGTAATATGTCTTAAACACGGACAATCATTTTTTTCACTTTGCACATTATTTAACTGTACATTTTTATTCTCATTAATATATATCTATAGGCTATATCAGTATATACGTACCGTACTTAGTATACCATATATTACAATATATATACATGAATATTGATACACACACATATTATACAATACTCCAGTGTAGTTTATATAAATACAGCACATCATATATTGTGTAATGTGTATATAGTAGCTACCTAGTAATATATATCTAGCCGAGAGCTACGTATAATAGTATATATATGTCGCTGTGTGTGGGGTATAGGTATATAGTAGGTATGCTTATCGTATATAGATAGGTATGATTTGTTGTGTGGTGGTGGTGGTGTATGTTATCTGGAGGTAAAATATTTTACCCCCTGGGATTATTAAAGTATTTTGCTGGATTCTGAATTTTCTTTGATTTCAAACTTTGTAACTACGTTTCATAGTGCATTTTATTTTGAAGGCTTGCAACAGGGAAGTCTTCCGTTTTATGTACGTCTGAAAACAAACGGGCCCCGCGGTTCATGTTCTGTTCTGTATCGGTCTGTTCGGGTTCTGTTCGGGGAGTTTAGAGGTGTAGGGTTGTCCGGTGTAAGGGGCTCAGACCCGGGCTGTCGGTTCACCGGACCCGGCTGCTAGCCTCCAGCCAGCCTGGGGACAGAAGGTCCCCCCTCTGTCCCACGGCCACACCGCCGGCATTGTGGCCGGGTAACTCTCCGGGGGCCTTCGCTGTTTGGCTGGCTGGCCTGGTTCTCCGGGGAAACTGGGTTTCTGAGCTGGTTCCGACAGAACAACAAGGCCTGAAACGCAGCACACGACGACGAGGCGGGCGGAGCGGACAGCCAGGGGACAGAGCTGCTTTCGCCACGCTAAGTTACCCCCGGGGCCAGTTACCGGGCAGTTTACCGGGCTTAACCGGGGGCAGTTACGGGGCTCTAACCGGGTTCAGTTACCGGGCTTCTAACCGGGGCATTACCGGGGCAGTTACCGGGCTTTTAAACGGGGCTTTTAACGGGGCTTTTAAACGGGCAGGTTACCGGGCAGTTACCCGGGGCTTTTAACGGGCAGGTTACCGGGCAGTTTACGGGCAGTTAACGGGGCAGTAGTTACCGGGCAGTTAAGGGGGGCTTTTAACGGGCTGTTACCGGGCAGTTTACCGGGGCTTTTAACGGGGCAGTTACCGGGGCAGGTTCACCGGCAGTTTACCGGGGCAGTTAACGGGGGCAGTTACCGGGCAGTTACCGGGGCAGTTAACGGGCAGTTACGGGCAGTTAAACGGGGGCTTTTAACGGCGCTGTTACCGGGGCAGTTACCGGGCTTTTAACGGGCGTTACGGGCAGTTACCGGCAGGTTAAAGGGGCTTTTAACGGGCTTTTTAACGGGCTGTTTATTATTTTTAACACCATTCAAGGAAGTCTTTAATTGTGACGTCACCGTGGTGTGATGCTAGCTGACGTTTAGCGGCGATGCTACGGGTGTTAAAGTCACATTATTGCTGTTTTTTAAACCTTTTTTAATTACTGTGAGTCTTAAAGTGAAAAGGGCCCAAGGGGTTTTTTCCCTTTCTTGGTTTTTTATTTTTTTTCCCGTAAACTCCGCACATTGTCGCTGAATGGCTAACAGCGACGGTTTAAACTCTTATTCTTTATTCTTTATTCGGCCTAATTGAAGCATTTCAGACGAGGCTCGTTTAGCGGAAGTTGGTATTTTTTTTTTAAACGTAATTTATTATTTATTATATTTAACGTTTAATATACCTTCCCAAACTCATTACCACACATTAATAATAACATGAAATAAACTTAAGTAGAAAAATCAGTTAAAAGTGCAGCAGGAAAATTCGGTAAATAATTAAATAAATAAATAAAATAAGAATTGAAGTGTCGAGCTTTTACAGTAAATGAGTCTTAACTATGACCTTTTATTAACACAATAAGCATGAACCTCCCCGGCTTGCTGTTAGTGGAGTGGAACCGCGTGCGTGTGCTCTGATTGGTGCGGACGACCTCCCGCCGCTCATGGGGGAGTTGTAGTCTTTTGCGTCACAGCCAACAAGCGCCCTAACGGGCATCAGACCCCGGAAGTGGACTTACAACCGGGACGCGTCGCTCTAGGGGGCGGGGTTTAACTCTGACAGCTGGTTGTTTGGAGGCGGGTCCCGTGGGGGGGGATGGGGGGGCTGTAGGTCTGTAGTGACAGCTCAGCCCACAGACAGAGGAGCTGCTGCTGCTGCCGGGGCTGCTGGGACATATGGCGTTCACTCAGAGGAAGTTAAAGGACAGAAAACAGAAGTTGAACCAACAACAGCATGCTGAGAGGACTTTCCTTCTTCCTGCCTCTGCTGGCGCTCGGGGCGCCGCTGTACTCAGAGGTCAGCGGCGTTTGTTCATGTGTTGTGTTTTCTACCGTTCGCAGACTTTACAGGTGTTTCTAAGATAAGAGTAAAGTTTAAATGAGCCGGAGAGGATTTATCTCCTCATCACACACCTGAAGCTGCCATATGTTCGGCCGTATCTCACTGGGATCATTTCACTTTGAGTTTGTTTGTATAAAAACTGTTTATTTAAACGACATTTCTGTTTGTGTTCTGACAGCAGAGCCTTTCTGTGGGTTTATAGTGGCTCAGGAGTTTAAATACATTTTAATACCAGCGTTTACTTTCTGTCTGACATCGTAAAAACAGAACTTCAGAATAAATAAAAAGTATAAACGGTGCTATACAAATAAACTCTAAAGTATAAACCGACATTAAATAATAAAAGTATTTAAGTAATCAAAGAGAGATTTCTCAAATGTTCTGGGAGTCACAGCTGTTGCTTTTCACCTCGATGTGAACAATATTTATTTATTTATCATTTATAAGAAGAATTTCCAGGTAGTTTCTGTGAATAAAAGTAGTTTATTATTAATGATTAACTTCTAAATGTTTAAACCAACTCATCAGAGTTTACCGTTCGTTAATTATTCTTAATTACTTGTTAATTATTTGAATGTTTCCGGTAACAGTTGAACACAAACGTCGTGTCAGTAACACGAGAAGGATTCGAGCAAATAACCAAACCAAATGAGACCGGAAGGATAACAGAGGTTTGAATGGACTCACCCACTGACGACCTGAGATCAATAGATTTACTTCATTAATCAGTTAATCAGTTAATCAATCAGGTCTTTTTTAAGCCAAAAGAAAAAAAACTTCATCTTCTGTGACAGAAAACTGAAATTCTTTGAGGCTTTTTGGACAAAAAATAACATTTGAACGCGTCGATTGGAGTTCTGACAACAATGAATCTGGTTTTTGAGGACGTATTCTTCAGCTGGATCAATAACGACCGTATTAGTCAGCTGAGACAACTGAGACTGTTGTTTCTGCACTTAAAGCCGGCGTGTCCGTGGATTCAGACTCCGCCCGCCGTTTACTGAGCTCACTGACTCACAGTGGCTCCGCAGGTCAAACACATTTGTCTCAGCCTGAATCCGACCCGCTCTGTTCAGGTGGCAGCGTCTCACAGCCGCCACATGTATTATGTATGGAGGCTCTGTGCTGCTCCAACGCCGCGCTGCAGGAACGAGGAGGAACGCAGATATTACAGAGTCAATGTGAGAAACAATAAGTGGACCAGGACTCATTCATTGATGAATACGTTGATCCGTTTGTGAGAGAAACACAGAAACAATCACATTTCAGAAACTCCTGAATCCTTTAACTCTGGATATTTAATCAAACCACTGCTACTAAAAACAAGTGAACACACTGTGTAGCTTCTGTAAAGAGGTTTCTTTAATGTCTGGTTGTGTTTCCTGTCTCTGCTGCAGCTGACCGGAGTCCTGGACGACTGCTTCTGTGATGTGGAAAGCATCGACGTCTTCAACAACTTCAAGCTTTACCCTCGAATCAAGAAGCTGACGGAGAAAGACTACTTCAGATACTACAGAGTGAGAATGCTGTGTCCGCCGTCACCTCAGACACAAACCAACTAGTAGCCTTTCTGTCTTAGCATCGTAGCACATCGTAGTATATATCCGTAAACTAGGTCAGATTACTGTGTCACCAGTTGATGCTGTTTTCCCACACGCCCTGGAAAACCTGGAAAATTAGAGGCTAGTTTTCCAGGTACATTACACCTGGAAATTTAAATAGTATTTTACTCCGTCACTCAGATCTCCTACGTTAACCTGGGTGCAGCTTTGTTTGAGACTTGACTGTTTTGTTTTTATTGTTTTCTTCCTGTGATGCTCGCAAGCCGGTTTACCTAGACATGGAGACGAACAGAGTTGTAGCGAGCTTTGTGGCGTCGAGTCATCGATGTTATAGTTCGAGGACAACTGTAGGAAACTGTGGTCAATTCGAATGTCCCATAAAGGCTGAACCACCTTCCTGTGAAGAACCCGACACGATTCATGAAGGAGGAATAAAACTGGTGTTAAATGTGTCAATACGAGGCGTACCGGTCAATTATATGAGCGTTTATCAGCAAATCCTGTCCTGGAAAATGATTTCTTATAGGAGTGGGAACCCAGGTTTTACCATCAGTAAATAAACAGTAAACAGGCTGCAGACCTTCACGCATTGTCACAGCAAACACTGAACGTTGAGTCATTTGTATTTTCTTCCTGTTTGCTGTTCACTTTGTGTTGACTGTTTACTGTAAACTGCACTTTCCTCTCGTAGTGAGTAACAGTCGGCGGTGTGCGGACGAAAATCAGTTCATCTGCTTGTTTAAGGGTGTGTTACATTGTGCAGAACGTCTGATAACTCCACGTCCTTCACTGTCCGGTCCCCTGATGTCCTTCAAAATCAGTTACAAGTGTTAATGTTCTCAGACGAGTGTTTAACTGATGCAGGGTGCTGTAGGGAGTCGCTGCTGTAAACGGTGCTTTGTAGAGGACAATCCCTGATATTCAGGTTCATGCTCATTTTAAACCAAACCTGTCTGTGTGGATGCCTTTCTGTGCTGTCTGTCTGCTGTACCTGCAGACAGGTGCAGTTTGATTGTTCACCTACATTTAGCAGGGTTGTTTTTTTTGTCGAGATATCTTTATTTGTCCCTCAGGGAGTGTGTCTTTACAGATACAACACACTCCTTATGTCCTGACTTTAGAGAGATTCACTGAGCAATAAAAGAGTTTTTATATCCACTCAGATCCCAAATTATTTTCATGATTGTTTGGTCTGTAAAAAATGTTTCTTTAAGCTCAACAACCCAAAGATATTCAGTTTACTTTAACAGGACTAAACCTGTTTTCTGTCTTTGCTCCAGGTGAACCTGAAGCGACCGTGTCCATTCTGGCCCGACGACGGACATTGTGCCATCAAGGACTGCCATGTGGAGCCCTGTCCTGAGGTCAGAGGTCAACCACAGCCACATACAGTTTAATAATTATGATAATAATCATGTTAAAGGTCCGGTATGTAACAAATATAATATTCATAGATATGTTGGCCACCGTAGTTTTTCCTACACACTTGGAAGGCTGAGCTGTATTCAAATGGTTTCCATCTGCAGCTTCACCACCAGATGTCCCTGAATCCTCCACACTGGTCCTTTAATACGAGCACACAATGTACTTTAACATCTGTCTGCGCTCCCTGTCTGATGTTAAATAGACTATGAATAAAAACACTTTAGTTTAAGGGTTAAGATAAACATAAGTAATGTAACTAACGTTAGCTTTGTTGTGGTAAGCTGAATGTCTGTGGTCATTTAACGCTAGCTAACACATAAACCCGGCTGGAATAACAAGGTAGTGGGCGAAGCTGATAAATCAATATAATAAAGAAGTGTACTGAATTAGAATCAGTTAACATTTATCCGTTCTGAAAGACTGAAACAGTTTTCTGATGGATGGTTTATTTTGCTTTCTCTGACTGTTTGTTGTTTTTGTTTACAGAGTAAGATCCCAGTGGGCATCAAGTCTGGGAACTACAACAAGGTGAGAGAAGATCAATGTTGGGTCATTCAGCCCCTGCTACCCATAATCCTTTGTATCTAGAGGCATTTTGTCACTAGAAGCACATTCACGGCCAATTTGTAAAAGTTTCTGTGTGCTACCTGCGTTGTTACGTTGGTTCACTTTCCTGTCACGCTTTAGCTCCTCGTATCTAATAAAGGCAAACGAACAACAACAGGAGGAAATAATGCATTTGTTGGGCAATATTTTAATCTGCAAATTATTCCACAGTTGGTGCTCTAGCAGTGAGTATTTGGGGCAGCGGGACGGTGTGTGTAAACTACAGCGCGTGTGTGTGTGTTTATGGTAATGAAGGAACAGTGGATGTGTCTTTAATAGTTTATGGAAGATAAACCCGTCTGATACACACGACACTATTTATAAAATACAGTGTAAAACATCAGCAGAATCCTTCAGTGAAACAGCTGTGATCGCAACCAGGCTGGTTTTATACCTGACAACAAACTGGTTTAATGGAGTTCAGGAGCAGCTGCATTTGTTCTGTCTCATCAGCTGATTCAGTAAACACACACACACACTCACTCTCAGCTTATCTCCTGATAGTTTCCACATAGAGGGTAAGGAGTGTTTGCCAGCTCTCGGCTCGCAGCCTCGTGTTTGTCTTGTAATGACCCAGAAGTGTTCTGACATCTACACTCGTCGAGGTCGAGGTCGAAGCCGCTTCACTGACCGTCAGCCAGGAAACTCGGCAGTTAGAACCTGTGGGAGGGATTAAAGGAAACACGAGTATGTGCCACCTCAGCAGTGTGTGAGGAAGGCAGCACATCTGGAACTCATCTGAAATCTATATTTTTATCTCCTTTCTACCAACGTGAACCTGTTGTGACGTCACCCATCGGTTTGTGGAGTTTTGAAGCCTCCAGTTTGGCGTTATGGTCGTCGCCATGACAGTTTGTCAGAGCCAGCGGAGGTCACATAAAGCGAGTTGAGCTGCAGGAAACAATGGCGTCTCTCCTGCTCACACAGGATCTGGTATTCCAGATAAACAGTAAAATGTGTTTGTGAACAGATTTGAAGAGAGAAATAGTCAACAACAGAATCTGGATCCATATCT